GTTTTACTGAATCATGTGCACGTGGTTCGTTGCAGATGTGGTCAGTGGTTCGTTCGTGCACTGTTTGGACAGCTAGCGGGTTGACTCCTTTGTCGGAAGCTGGGAATAATGGAGAAAGTCCTTCGGAGTTAGAGAGACATCCTCACAAATAGAATACAGAGGAAACTGGACAGACATGGCATACTTTTATGAATCAAATGTTTCTTTTAAAAGTTGAGTTGAGTTGCTGTCATAGGCTAATAATGAAAACTGATGGCTGGGCTCAGTGACTCAGCCTGTAATCACAGCACTTTGGGAGGCCAAGGCACGTGGATTGCCTGAGTCTGCAGGTTCGAGATCTCCCCAGGCAACTTGGCAAGACCTCGTCTCTACAATAAATAAAAAAGTAGCTGGGCATGGTAGCGCGCTCCTGTATTTCCAGCTACTTGGAAGTCTGAGGTGGGGAAGATCACCTGAGCCCAACATGTCGAGGCTGCGGTGGCTGGGAGCGTGCCACTGCACTCCAGTCTGGGCGACAGAGTGAGACTCTAACTTAAAAAAAAAAAAAATGAAAACTGATTTGGTAGCATAGTTCTCTTTGACATGGCTTCAGAGAAAGAAACATCGAGCGTTCGATTTTTCTTGAACAATGTCTGTGAGTACTTGTTCTGTTTCTCGTGCTCTGCAGTGCTTTCTCTGTCTTTTGTAGTCCACAAATTATCCAACAGTCTCTTCCACTATAATTTATTTACATAATATTTGGACTCTGAGGAGATGTCTGGCCCATAATCTTATCTAATTTACTCGCCAGTAGAGTCTACCTTATGGCAGCTTTCACATCAACCTAAAAATAAATATGTAGCAATTCATGGCACTTCATTTCAAAACTCTGTATCTAATTTTTTTCCTCTGGCTGCAGGCCTCTCAGTTTAATCTTCAGCTTGAGTAATAAGCTGGTTTCAAGCACAGTTTTCCCTTATGACTCACTGAGGTAAGCTTTCACTACAATGAAAAAGAAGTGGTTAAAAAGATCGCATTTGGTGTCATCTGTTCAATATCTGACAATGTAGGGTTTCCAAGTTAGTTATCCTCCTGCATTTTAATACCATACAGGATACAGAGAGGAAGCAGTGGTGTCAGATGTGCATGCTAGTGCTGGTAACGATGCTCTTTTTCTGACCATCAAGTTGTACGTTAATTAGTCAAGTAACACAACAATGCATTCTCCTTTAAAAAATAAAAACATTACCCATGAGGCTGAAGTATTGGTTGATCAATACCTCTAATCTGTTTCTTCCCTACCTCTCTATCTCAGTTTTTTACATCTGAGTATATGAGTTGTACTATGTTCTCTGGGGTGTGGTAATATGAAAATATTGTCACATATCATGATTTGTGTATCATTCTTCATATAAAAATGACTTGAAGCCCTGTGTGTTTCACTGTAGCCTCGACCTGTGAGGCTCAGGCGATCTCTTCTGCCTCAGTCTTCCAAGCAACTGTAACTACAGGCATGCGCCACCAAGTCTGGCTAATTTTTCTTGATTTATTTTAGAGGCGCGGTCTCACCAAGTTCCCCAGACTGGTCTCAGACCTCTGGGCTCAGGCAGTCCTTTTGCCTCGGCCTCCCAAAGTGTTGGGATAATAGGTGTGAGCCGCTGTGCCCGGCCTCTTTTTTTAAGTCAGAGTCTCACTCTGTTGCCCAGGCTGGAGTGCAGTGGCGTGTTCACAACCACTGCAGCTTCAACCTGCTGGGCTCAGGCTATCTTTCTGCCTCAGCCTTTCAAGCAGCTGTAACTACAGGCATGCACCACCATCCCTGGCTAATTTTTTGATTTATTGTAGAGATGAGGTCTCACCAAGTTGTCCAGGCTGGTCTCAAACTCCTGGGCTCAGGCAGTCCCCTTGCCTCTGCCTCCCAAAGTGCTAGGATTACAGGTGTAAGCCATCGCGCCCGGCTCTAACTTGGTCTTTTAACCACTGCATAACACCTCCTAATATAAAAATTCTTACATTTAGGCACTGCTAATAACACTACTACTTTTTTAATGCTTTTTTTATACTTGACTCCTTGGGTATATGCCTTACGCCTCTTGTTCTTTTAACTACAGCATAATACTTGATAATTTGAACATCTATGTATTTCGGCAGAGTTTATTCCACTGTGACTTGAGCAAACTTTTTTGTACTTGGGTAATCCTCTTCCTAGAATTTATTTAAGTATTTGAATGCAGCATTAAATGAGCTAGATGACTGGCTTTCTTCCTGCTGCTAAAAGGATCTGATCACCAGTTCATTCGCTGCAGGAACATATATTGACACTACATTTCAAAGTTGTTTGTGCTGGGACTACCAAGATAGGTGTGTGTGTCGTCCCTGTCTTTGGCATATACAAAACCAGAAAGAAGAAAACAAACTAAAATGAAACAAAAAACCTGTTGTACAACCAGTGAACATGAGAATACTTTGATAGGGGTTCTAGCGGAGCCACTGCCGACACACCATTGTATTCACCTAGACACATCCAGAAGGGTTGCAGTTTGTTCTGCTGACATACAACCTGACGTTAGGCAAGAGGCCTATTCATTTAACAGCCACTCACCAAGCCTTGACCATGAGCCAGGCAGTGTGCTAACTGCTTCATTGTATTCGCTCATGTAGTCCTGGTAAGAGTCCTGTGAGGTGGAGGTGCAACTGTTATCTGTGACTTACGAATGTGCATAGAGAGGGCTTTTTCCTGCCTAGAAGGTCTTACTCTAACCTCTGTGTCTTAACTCCTGCTTCAAAGCTGCTGCTCTGGATTGTTTTGCGTTTGAGAAAACAAGAATTACTTCATACTTTTGCAAAAAAGAACATGGTCTCTTACCAGAGGCCGGTTTTCAAGTTGTGCTCCTTCGCTTGGTCCCTTTCTTCTTTTTGCTCAGCAGCTCTGTATTTGTCTCTCGATTTGGTTTGCATTTCCACTTAAGATTTTATTGGAACGGTGGATTCTCAGCCAACTTTTTTTTTTAGACCACTCCTTTATCACAGGATACCTTAGGTCTCAGTCAAGTGCTTATTCGGATATTAGAGTAACACCGGAGCAG